ACCCCTCTGTCGATCTTCCTCTCGGTTAATCTCGTGCACACCAACTTAATAACCTGTCCGCCTACCCCAATACTCACCCATCGGCTTATGCTGCCGCATTCGCACCAACTTAATTGCCCGCCCGCTAAACCCACCCCACAAGCACTTACCCGTTCACACACACACACAAAACACTGTCCATCCCGCCCTCTATCTTCCTGCGCTACCTATAACCATTTACACGCAAATCCGTTTAACTGCCCACCTGTAAACTTTTTTAGCCTCTGAAAATCACCCGTCAACACGCTTACCTACCCATCAACCCATTCTCTAATCCTCACACATCCTTTCCACCCGCTTACCCAACTGCTCACCCATTAGCGTACACTAGCTTACTCACCCACCCGCTAGCTTCTCATCCACCGAATTAACAGCCCGTCTCCCCACAAAGGGTTGGCGGGTACGCCAACCCTTTTAATTGTACGCTGTCCCGGCTATCAATTCGCCGTCCCCCTCCTTGTCCCCGCGCGCAGGTGGGCTCAGCCCATATCAAAGAACGAGCCTCCACGCGCCCTTCTTGCGGCCCACCTGCCCAGCCCTGCCCCTGCCGCTGCGACTGCGGCGAGGCAGCTTCTGTCCTCCCAGGCCTTGGCGATCGCCTGCCCCCTGCTTTCGTCTGCGCGAGATCCGCTCAAAGGCGAGTGGGCACGTGTAGACGCTTGCTTACGGCGCGGATTGAGGGGGAAATGAAATGGAAAGGGTTCCTATTGGACACACTCGTGTGGTTTACGGGGTGTTGGAACTTACGCGCTTCACAAGAAAGAGAGCTGAGAAATTAGTTAACAGAATAATGACAAGTGTAAATTTTTAGAAGGCATGTTAATATATCACCTTTTAGTCTTGCTCCATTTAAAAACTGAATAACGTTTATGTTCTAATTGTTTCATTGGATATTTTGATAAAACCTCCTGATCTCTTATTTGTAGCTGTGTGCACTCCAAGAAATTCTACCTTACATTTTATTTCCGTCCAAATATTCCGTCCAGAGAACAGACTTTGCAGGCGCTTCTTTTCTCGAGGGTTTATGTAACATCCTTGCCGTAAATACGTCGTGTATTGTTTCTAGACTTGAAGCTACAGACCTGTCGCTTCGTGAGCTGGAAGTCATACTTTTGCGGTCTTACTTGACGCGCACCTCTCGCGGGCCGCGACCAAACGCTGGAGATACGAAGCAGTCCTTCTTCAGGGCACGGGAGCGGAACGGGTCGCAGGAGCGAAGAATAATCCTACAAAGAGGGGCGCAAACGCCTTAGCACACAACTGCATCTACGAACAAATACATACAACATTACCAGTTCGTCAGTTGTTGGTTAGCTGGTTGTTACTGAATCAGGGCGTGTCAACTACTGAGGGCATTAATACCATAAGTGTAGTGCACGTTTCTTCCTCGGAAGGTGGCTGTGATCTTGCCCTGCTGGATGGCGAGATCCGGTACCTTCCGCAAGTGGGGTTTCCCTCAACCCCGTATCTCCCACCAGGCGGGACAAGCTCTAAACTACCAACCGGTCTTCTGGCATGTGAGGTACTGCATGTGAGATACTGCATGTAAATGTAAGAGTGCGTAAGGGGTGCAAATAGAACACGGAAGAGGTAGGAAAGATCGTGCGCCGTCCGTGGCCCGTTTTTAGAGTACTGTTTGTTATACTCTGGCCTTCACCTGCTTATCGGAGAAACCACGGAAAACTACCAATCAGAGTAGCCGTTCTCTAGAATTCTCCTCCAGACAGCAACTAAATTCGTTCTAGCTGACAAGCTAGGGTCGGAAATCCTGCCACAGTCTGCACTCGAATTAGGAGGCACTGCAGTGGCATCAGTTGATGCAATGAACCACTTCTCCTGGTGTGGCTGATTAGCAAACCTAGTAACCAAGAGTTTTGGAATTTACAGACAATTTTACAAATCACGCATTACCTATGATAATTTTTAGTGCATATTTTCAAGAACTAAAAGTATTTTCTCATACAAATTATTGCCGTTTATATATTTCTAATGCGACTTATTAGCTTATTAGATTAACATTATTAGAAGATGTTCACAATTAAGAATTTTAAGTTACTATTTGAGAACTCATATTTAGCTCTCTCCAGACCAGAAATAACTCGTGTATGTAATAACATAGAATAGAAAGCGTGATAATTACATGTAAATATATTGAAGAAAAACAAATACAGAGCATGTGTGAATAATATAAAGTAAATAGGCAAAAATAATATCGCAGTAAAACGGAAGGAAGACAATAGTAGCAAGTATAAGTACTCGTAATAGTCGAAAACAATGAGTCATCGTAGATTATTCACATCTAAAATTTTATTCAAGTGCAAAAGAGGTTAAGATGTTTTATTAGTATTCAACTGTCTGTATTAATAAGAGCTTTGGAAAAATAATACAAAGTATTCAAGGAAGTAGTAACGACTAGCGTATAAAAAGATTTATCAGTTGCATCTAATTAACACTAATTAACTAGTAGTTCATGAATTTCTTTCAGTTGCGTTTGTTCATTGTTTTGTGAACTTGTTTTTGCGGATGGCAAGACATTTAAACTGTCACAAATTTATCGCTGATTCGACTTCATCCTCCTCGTCATCAAGGCACCGGCTCTTGCTCACCTCGCGCCGGAATAGCTCGGACTTGGCGCTCGCG